AACACAGAGTGTATCAGGGTGTAACAGACTAAAGCAGAAATGCCTTAGCTTCAGTCTCCTTTTAAAACTGATGCCTTCAAAAAAAAAAAAAAAAAAAACTGATGCCTTCATCTTTTGCCGGTTCTTTGTTTCTGTTATTCGTACGCCCCCTGGTCCCTGAGGGCTTAACTGGCTCACCTGGCTTCTAGCCCACAGCTCCCACACTGGGAGGTAAAAGCCTTAAAGGCAAACTCGTGAATTCACTGAGTCTAGAACAGGGCAGGCATCCCGCAGCGCGAACTGGATTCAATCCTGACTACTTTTACACGGTCCCAGCAGCTCCCAGGCCTGGGACCTATATGGTTGCCCAAGTTTGAGAGGCTTTGTTACACCCTTGAGGAAGACAGAAGGTGTGCAACTGTGAATTCGGCTATGACCTAGGTCCTGAGGATTCTGTATTTCCAGGTTAGCAGTATTAATTAGGAGACCAAAGAGAAATGCTGAGAAAGATGAGCAGAGGGAAGGAAGGTATAATAAGTACCTTGAAGGTCTTTTACCAGCCGTAGCTTTGCAGGGTTTCACTGGCATCCTTTGTTCCTCTATGTAAAATGGATGGACTTCTTTGTTTCCAGTGTTGTGGTATATCAAATTAGACTTAAGCAGACTAATTGAGTGACAAGGGATTAAAAACAGAGCAAAGACAGATTCTTGATTTGGTTTCCCTAGGCATAAAAAGTCATTATTCACATAACTATCAGGGAGGCAGCAAGTTCTAAACACAAGAGAAGCGCAGGCTTTAATGTCTTCTCTGTACCGTGATTATCTCTGTGACTTTATTTCAAGTCACTCTCCTAGGCTCACCTCAATTTCCTCATCAGAAACACAGAGAATGGTGTGTGTGTGTGTGCACGCACGTGTGTGTGTGTGACAGTGTGTGGGCCTAGGCTATCTGAAGCTCATCCCTGGTTAATATTTCATGTCAACCCAAGGATACAGCAATCCTACTCAGCTCTGCAACTAGAAAAGTAGAATCTTTTAAACCCAGAATTCTCAAAGTGCAGAAATCAAGGCTCCAAATTTAGGGAGCTGGAATAAAAGAAGTGTTCAACAGATTCTCCTGGTAAAGATGGAGACAATGTAATACCAGGAAAGGGACATGTAGAACTGTGGAGATTATTTGGATTAACTGAAGAAAAAAGAATATCTTTGCCTAGAACATACATATAAATGCAAAAGTGGTTTTTCTGCTTTAATAGCAGCTGAATTTCCTCAACTGCCCACTTCAGCTTGCCCAAATGAAAGAGCTTAATTAAAGAAAGAGCAAGGATCACCTTTTATATGTCTATACCATAGGAAAAATAACTGAAATGGGCAGGAAATGAAAAACTTTAGAACTCAATCTTTGACTTCAAATAGTATATATTTCCTTATGAAACACCCAAAGGTGAGTTAAGTACCCAAGAACCAGAATAAATCTTTCCTCATGATTGTTGGCCAAACTCTTCCTCCAGACAAGAGAACTTTGTGAACTCCGACACGATTTCTTGGGAGTGATAAGCAACCTAGCAATAATGTCAAGTTCCCAACGTGAAGAATTCTGGCAACAAGAACAGACGTTTAATTCTACTTAAAAGACAGGGTAGCCCTGCCAGTGTTGTTCCCAAATGAGGTAATGTCCATGGCTCTTATCTAGTCTTTATTGAGATTTAATGTCATTTACCACTGGCTCTAGTGAACCTGCAGGATAATCTCACCTTTTCTGACATGCATTACTTACATCCATTTCAATATGGCAATTACAAGCCTCTGGTTTTTAAAATGATTAAGGAACAAATCCCACATGTTCTTTCTTTTTTTCCATGTCCTATAATTTGAGTCTTTCTTCCACGGTTCCCCAAAATTCAGAGCTCAGCATATTTCTTGTTTGCAAGGTATACTACAGAGATAACTCTGAGGTTTAATATATTGATGTAAACATTTTTCAAAGATGTCAAAATTTATAATTCAAGAAACTGTTCTGTGAAAGAATTTGTTTTCTGATACAAAATGATTTCCTGCTTTTGAAAAACATAACAATTTTCTATTTACTTAGCTGGCTCTGCAAGTCCCACGGAGATGACTTTTCCTTTCAAGCCCTAATATCGCTTTCTCAGGTGCAGGTCTTGTACTGATTTCAAAGGTAGCTTTATGCAAAGAAGGAATGTATATGCTACAAAAGGGAATGAGAAAGAGAGCCCTCCCCATCTTAACCCCTCCTGCTTTCCCCACAAAGAACAGAGTGAAACAGAACTATTGCAACACAGATGAGACACCCGAATAGACATGACAAAAAGATTTTCACATGCCTTTGACTTCCTTTTTTTCAACCAGGGTATAAGCCAGTCTTGGTAAAGACAGGAATCCGTTTGACAAACACAAACACAATACCGGCACCCAACCCCCATGTAGTTGTTGTTTTTGCCAACACTCAGGAACAAGGGCAACAGCCACAAGCACCCCAGCGTTAGAGGGTTTTGACTTTCCCACACTGTTTCACATATTATGTAGCAGAAGAAGTTGGAGAATATCAAAGGCCGCCCAGAGACAGAAAAAAAGACTATCTGTTGCTGCTGGGCAGACTGGTAGAACGCAAGCCAGACCTTTTAGAGGTGAGTAGGGGAATGAGGTAGGAGGCCCATTTGTACCGCTGGTGGAAGAGCCAAAGCAACAATATCAACCTCACTGCTTCTAAGTTTGGCCAAGAGTGGCTCTTCAATAAAGACAACTGGATGCCCCCCGACAATCCGAACTTTCCTTCTAACTCAGCTGCATCCCCTATGCATCTCTGAAGAGCCTGTTCTGCATGACTCATTACTGAAGCCTCCCTTCAAAGAAACAGCGGAGTCTGACAGAACTGTGTGGGCTTCAGGGTCCCATCTTTATAACCAAGATAATGACCCCTACCCCTCTTCATCACAGGGATAAAGTGAGGACCAAGGGAGAAGAGTGCTTAGGAGTTTGTACTAAAGAAACCACCAACGATCCATAACGCACATAACAGAGGCCAGAGCATCTGGTCTGGGACGCTTGGGAGTTGCACCATCTTTTCAGGAGATCTGCAAGATTAAACTATTTTCAAAATGACACTGAGACATTACTTTCCTTTTTCATTCTCATTCTCTCCCAAGTGTACAGTGGAGTTTGCCAGAGGCTACAAGGTGTGTGATGATGTCACCCCTCTAATGACTAATGGAATGTGTGCTCATGAGTTCCTGTGTTTTATTTTCTGTTTTAGCTTCTAATTAAATTTTGATAGACAAAAGCCACTTGGGATCCTCAGAAACTATTCAAGAGGGTGAGGAGATCTTGAGACAGTTTGAGACCCGCTACCCCAGAAGTCTTGTCCCACCCAACCCTGCAGTTCCCAGGGGGGCTGACTCACAGCCAGTCTGAGTCTTTCTATATGCTGCTCCCCCTTCAGGGTAGGCATCCTTCTCCCCTTCTCTCGGCTACTTTCCACTCTCTTCTTAGATGTCATTTTGTCTGGGAAGGCTTCCTGACATCCCCAGGACCAATCTGGTGGCACTGTCTGTGTTGCCCTAGTGCCAAGCACACTCATTTTCTGGTCTTTTTTTAATAAATTTATTTATTTAGTTTTGGCTGCACTGGGTCTTCGTGGCTGCACAAGGGCTTTCTCTTTGTTGCGGTGAGCAGGTTTCTGACTGTGGTGGCTTCTCTTGCTGTGGAGCACAGGCTCTAAGGCGCATGGGTCTAGCTGCCCCATGGGATGTGGGATCTTCCTAGACCAGGGATCAAATTCGTGTCCCCTGCACTGGCAAGCATATTCTTAACCACTGGACCACCAGGGAAGTCCTCTTGTTTATTGTCCTCAACTCTGTCAACACAAGAACTTGGTCTCTATTTTGACTTTGACACAGTAGTATAAAGAAGTCACTCAACAAATAAATACTTATTGAATATATGTAACAAACAAGGAAGGAAAGCAAAAATCAGGTTTATTTTACATTCTCAACTAGACAGAATGAGTTACTAAAAACATCAGTTTTCATTATAGCACAGATTTATTAAAACTATGAATAATAATAATGATAATAATATTTATGTATCTTTCTATGGACCAAGTACTATTCTAAGCACCTTATATGCATTAATTCATTTATTCTTCACAGAAATCCCTAAGAGGTATATACTACTATTATTATCCTTGGTTCAAAAGAGAAGACACAGATGTGTAGGTATTGAGTAGTGGATCTGAAATCAACACCCACACAAAACCAGATCCAGAGTTGCAGGCTTTAATCACTCTACACACTGCCTGCCATGTCAGCAGTGTGGACTGTAGGCTTAGAACATATATTTGGATCTCAAGGCCATCTCTCAAATCTGCTCACAAATCAGAAGCATGACCTGATATTTAAATCCCATCCCAGCCACATGAACAGCAGATCCCACTAATACCAACCTGTCCCCACGTTTACAGCCAGGATTTAAAAAGGACTGTTTCAATAAGAAGCCTATTTCTCAATCATTTATTGTACTTGACTCTTGCCTAGAAAAAATGTTAAGTTAAAAGCAGTAAGTCATTTTGCTTATTTATTCAAAAGAGAAGTCTCCCTTGTAGCACAGAGAAAATAGGAAAGTAGGGTTTGATATTCAATGTACTAAGCTGCTTCATGTGTATTGAGGAATGCTCACAACTTCACTGTGAACAGGGAGTGGCCCAGAATGTTCTTCAGGCATACTTGGTGGAAAAGACACAACTTCAAAGAGGAAAGCCAGATGGAAAAGCAGGCCATAGAAAACCTAGATTTTAATGCAAAAGATGTTCTGACTGAATCACACTGTGACATTGCATTCAAGTTTATGATGGAAAAAAGCACACCTAGGAAATATTCTTTCAGCAGTAGAAAACAGTTCTATGCATAAAGTGAAAAGTCAGTATATCGAATCGTCACCTGCTAACAGCAACAAAGTTCATCTAGCAGTATTCAACAAAACTCATAAAGACTGACTTTACTTACTTGGAGAAGTGTCCCATGAATATGGTTTTGCCGGAAACACTGGTCAGTGCAGTCAGGGAGTTTGGCCAATAGAGTTTGGATGGTATTAGGGATTTCGTCCATCATGACAAATGGGACCAAGGCACGAGCTGCCATTTCACGGGAGCGGTAGACAGGTGAGTGACCACATCTGAGAAGAGACAAAAACACAAGACCATTCAATACACATATCTATATCCACACCTTTGTACATGCTGATGCTCTATCAAGCTCTAGCTGAAACATCCCATGGCAGGGATGGGGGAAGGAGTTGCTTCCTATTCCAAATGATGTTTTTATACTTCCCTGATTTCAAATGATTTTTTGTTTCTTTGTTTATATTAGTTCTACAGGTGACTTTGCTCTTCTCATAAACATCATTAACATCTATGGTTTTACCACAGATTGTAGGTTGTGGGCTGTCATGTTGCAAAGGATGGAAATCAGGAAAGCAAGTGTGATTCAAGTATGCCAAAAGAAACCAGGAAGTTTCAACCAGAGACAGTTACATAAAGCAAGGGTAGAAACACTTGAGGTACAGTATAGTTAAATGTGTCTGGCTAAATCAGGTTCATGAAGAGAAGTGGAACTTCAGGCTGAGAAGTGGGTCAGGCCAGACCCACTGGGGAGTTCTGAAATGGCCAAGTACATGCTCTGAATTTACTGTCAAGAGAACAAGAGATAGACCCTTGAGTCACCAAGTCCTTGCCTCACACCCAAAGAGCTTGGAGAGAAGCCAGTTCCTAAGTAAGTGAAAGTCAGGGACAAGAGGTTATTTTGAGATTCTACAAAGGTCATTAGAAAGGCAAGTCATCTACGGGTCTCTTTGTTTGTAAATACTTAGAACCTGAGAGTCCACAACCATTTTGTTGAAACTGTGCATCTGAGCGCCTTCACAGACATAGTCTTAATTGAAAGGAAAGCCCAATATGGTTAAGTCTTACCTTAAATAAATTCTTGACTAGAACTCTCAAGACTTAAAGATCTTTCATCCCATTTAAAAAAAAAAAATTCAACTTACATAAATGTCTTAAATGCCAAGACAAGGATGGGGAAGACCAGAAGACAGCGGACTCTGCGGGGGAAAGAGATGTCCTCTTACCTTTTTTCCAAAATTAATCAATATTCCAAGAAAAAATGACTGGCTCTTGCCATGAGGCCCATGGGGCCATTGATGCTTAGCATGTAGAGAGATAAAGCCCTATGACTAAAGTGTAACACTTCAGAGGTATCACTGACATGTATCTTAATATGACAATAAAAGTACAGATGTAAGTTCTGTACGATCTAAGCAAAATTCCGTCTTGGGGAGAAGGATAGGTAGGAGAAAGTAGGGAAAGAAGAGAAAGAGGTACAGGATAAGTCAAAACACTGTGTTGTTTTTTCCCCTAAGACAGCAGGCTAGAGATGGGCCAATCAGCACACACTTCCAGGATGGAGAATAGCTCACCTTACAACATGATGTGAGCAGACACTGAAGACTAAGGCTACAGTAGAGAGCTAGAGATTTCCCAATGGTTTTGACTGGATTTTGCCAACTCATCCATTTTCTCATGTGTCTTCCCTTTAAAATGATTAAACATTTGATCTGTAATTGGCAAAAGGAGTCAAATGTTTGCTTTGGCCCATGGTAGGGGTGGGGAGGGGCACGTGTGGGGGAGTGAGTGAGAAAACTTCAATTGATGGAGAAAAGAAAATATTCTGAAAAAGCTGAGATTTAATTAGCAAATGACCTCACCCAGTACAGCCATCTGTCCGGAAGCTTCCTGGGCTGTCTGTCCCCCCACCCCTCTGACACATAATACTTTGTGTTATAGTGTGCTTTATGTTACTTAAAAAGCACTTGTGTATAAATGTTTCTTTTCAAATACAAATAATTCTGACATGGTTACAGATGTTTAGTTTCTAATGAGCAGAAACCATACACTAAAGAATCCCCCTGCTTTTGCTCCTGACCTTTTACAAATGATGATTTCCCAAAGGAATCTGGCATCCATACAGGAGAAAGAATGGAAAGTCGGAGAAGTGCCAGAATTTTCTGCTTTCTGATACTCTGAACTAGGGTACTTTCCAAACACACACAATCAGGTTAAAGAGAAAAACAAAACTGCCCCTCAAAAAAGTAATGCAATTATAGAAAAAGAGAAGAAGCCTATTTTTAAAGTAATATTTAATTAAGTACCATTCATTCTAAAGCAACGACTAAACGTAATTTAGAACTCCTCTCTCATGGCAAATTGTTTAAATGGAAGGATAGATTCTAGTACACACACTCACATAAACACAACTATCAAGTTAAAAAAAAATTTCCAGGATACTGTTTTGTCAAGTCTTTAAGGACAGGAAATTCTTGATTCACACACTGTTGAAGCCTGGTTTGGAGAATTTTGAACATAACTTTGGTAGCGTGTGAGATGAGTGCAACTGTGCAGTAGTATGAACATTCTTTGGCATTGCCTTTTGTAGGGACTGGAATGAAAACTGACGTTTTCCAGTCCTGTGGCCACTGAGTTTTCCAAATTTGCTGGCATACTGAGTGTAGCACTTTCACAGCATCATCTTTTAGGATTTGAAATAGCTCAGCTGGAATTCCATCACCTCTGCTAGCTTTGCTCGTAGTAATACTTCCTAAGTCCCACTTGACTTTGCATTCCAGGATGTCTGACTCTAGGTGAGTGATCACACCATCGTGGTTATCTGGGTCATTAAGACCTTTTTCGTATAGTTCTTTATATTCTTGCCACCTTGTCTTAATATTTTTTGCTTCTGTTAGGTTCATACCATTTCTGTTCTTTATTATGCCCATCTTTTCCTTGGTATCTCGAATTTTCTGAAGAGATCTTTAGTCTTTCCCATACTATTGTTTCCCTCTATTTCTTTCCATTGATCATTGAGGAAGGCTTTCTTATGAAACAAGAAATTTCCAGATGTAAGTGAACCTTCCAGAGTATGTGAACCAAGAACTTCCAGATGTTCAAGCTGGATTTAGAAGAGGCAGAGGAACCAGAGATCAAAATGCCAACATCTGTTGGATCATCGAAAAAGCAAGAGAGTTCCAGAAAAACATTTACTTCTGCTTTACTGACTACACCCGCGCCTTTGACTCTGTGGATCACAACAAACTGTGGAACATTCTTAAAGAGATGGAAATACCAGACCACCTGACCTGCCTCCTGAGAACTCTGTTTGCAGGTCAAGAAGCAACAGTTAGAACCGGACATGTAATAGTGGACCAGTTCCAAATTGGGAAAGGAGTACATCAAGGCTGTATACTGTCACCTTGCTTATTTAACTTATATGCAGAGTACATCATGCAAACTGCTGGACTGGATGAAGCACAAGCTGGGATCAAGATTGCTGGAAGAAATATCAGTAACCTCAGATATGCAGATGATACCACCCTTATGGCAGAAAGCAAAGAGAAACTGAAGAGCCTCTTAATGAAACTGAAAGAGGAGAGTGAAAAAGCTGGCTTAAAACTCAACATTCAAAAAACTAAGATCATGGCATCTGGTCCCATCATCTCATGGCAAATAGATGGGGAAACAGTGGAAACAGTGACAGACTTAATTTGGGGGGGTTTGAAAATCACTGCAGATGGTGACTGCAGCCATGAAATTAAAAGACGCTTACTCCTTAGAAGTGAAGTCATGACCAACCCAGAGAGCATATTAAAAAGCAGAGACATTACTTTGCTGACAAAGGTCCATCTAGTCAAATCTATGGTTTTTCCAGTAGTCACGTATGGATGTGAGAGTTGGACCATAAAGAGAGCTGAGCACCAAAGAATTGATGCTTTTGAACTGTGGTGTTGGAGAAGATTCTTAAGGGTCCCTTGGACTGCAAGGAGATCAAACCAGTCCATCCTAAAGGAAGTCAGTCCTGAATATTCATCAGAAGGACTGATGCTGAAGCTGAAACTCCAATACATTGGCTACCTGAGGTGAAGAACTGACTCACTGGAAAAGACCCTGATGCTGGGGAAGATTGAGGGCAGGGGGAGAAGGGGATGACAGAGAATGCGATGGTTGGACGGCATCACCAACTTGATGGACATGAGACTGAGTAAGCTCTGGGAGGTGGTGATGGACAGGGAAGCCTGGCATGCTGCAGTCCATGGGGTCGCGGAGTCAGACATGACTGAGCAACTGAACTGAACTGAGGGACAAGAAGCAGGTGTGATGAGATCCAGCTTTTCTTCAGGTATATGTGGCCTGGAGTGTGAGGGGATATAAATAGTCTTTTCAGCTCTAAGTGGAATATATTTGAAGCTAAAAATATATCTTTCCCGTAGATAGAATTTTCTAGTTTTGATTCAGCACAGGTGCCAAAATCAGGCAGAGACAATCTTCAGGAATGCATCATCCTGTTTTGGACACTGGGGTCTGTGACTTGGACAAGTTGCAGGAACCTCTCTGGATCTGTTGTGCAGACAATAGTGGCAGTTATCAATCCTCAGTGAGATGGTATCTATGAGAACACTCCAAGAAGGAAGGTATTTTGAAAATACAGTTTCAATAATGTGCCATGCCCCTGTTACAGTGGGATCAGCATAGTCTAGGAACGGCAGGCCTCCCTGTGGCCCCAATGAGAGAATTAAGACTATGGTGTGAATGCTGCTGTTGTTATTCAGTCACTCAGTCATGTCCAACTCTTTGCGACCCCATGGACTGCAGCACGCCAGGCTCCTCTGTCCTCCACTATCTCCGAGAGTTTGCTCAAATTCACCTCCATTGAGTCAGTGATGCTATCTAACCACCTCATCCTCTGCCACCCCCTTCTCCTTTTGCCTTCAATCTTTACTAGCATCAGGCTCTTTTCCAATGAATCAGCTCTTTGCATCAGGTAGTCAAAGTATTAGAGCTTCAGATTCAGCATCAGTCCTTCTAACGAATATTCAGGATTGATTTCAAAAAAGAAAAGAACAATAAATTGATGATATGATGGCAAGGAGGAATTTTTTTTTTGCCTTCATTATAAAGTGATGAGGATGACTCTGGAGGCCTCCTGGAAAAAGTGAGACAGCTTCTACTCTTTTAAGTTTCAATTCTACTCATTTTAAGTCTCTGGAAAACAAAACAAATGGATTTTGAATCTCGAAGGTTATTTCGTCTATTTGGAAATAGTTTGGAAAGCATTTTCTCAGTACCC